CCTCACCAGGCTCCGAAAGCCACCTGGATATTTCATGCCCTGTGCAGAGCATGTTCCTCCCCTCCTTTCCTTCCAGTAAAATCCTTCTCTTTCTCATCTAAAGTCAGATACAAAGCTCTATTTATTAAAAATAGACACGGGAGCCATTCTGGTGAAGCCTGGGGTTGGTTGCCCACTCCCTCATACACCCACGCCAGTCGCCGTGGCTCTGGGCACAGGCACTGAAACCTTCAAGGGAGGTGTCTTGATTTATAGCTGCATCCTCTTCTCCAGACAACGAAATGCTTCTTGTCTTAGCATATCTTGTATTCCACTCTCTGTACCATTTTACTCCTTTCTAAATTTTTTTCCCCCTTGGTGCTGGGGATTGAACCCAGGGCCTCTAGCCAGGAGGGGTGGGGCACCTGTAATCCCAGCCCCTCAGGAGGCTGAGGCAGAGGGTTCAAATAGTCAAGGCCAGACTCAGCCACTTAGCAAGATCCCCAGCAATTTAGAAAGATCCTGTCTCAAAACACAAAATAACAAAAGGACTGGGATTCAGCTCTGCAGTAAAGTGCAGCTGGGTTAAATTCTCAGCATCAAAAGAAAAAGAAAGAGGGGAGGAAGGAAGGAAGGCGAGAAGGGAGGGACAGAACAGAAAAGGAACCCAGGGTCTTATGTATACCCACCAAGCACCCCCCCCCCAGCTGCGTCCCAGTCCTCCACATTCATCTTGAAAGACCCCACAAAGGTCCGGTTTCCATGACCTGCAATCAGCAATGGCCTCGAAGGTCCTCCGGGGACTCATGTCACCAACACATTACTGCTCTTCCAGGGGTCTCCCCTCCTCGTCCTACTTCCAGACACCACAGTTGTACGGCTGCCACGCCTCAGGCTCCAGCTCTCTGGAAACTCCGCTTCTATTACTCCTGCAGCCTGGTCCTCAGTCCTCGCCCTCGTGCTGGTGCTGGTAGCACCTACGCTGTCTCTCAGCCTTGGCTGCAAATAACAATCCTTTCTAACTCCGGGAACTTGGGGAAACTTGACACCAGTTATCACACTCAGACCAATTAAAGTCAGAATCCTGAGGGCGGGCAGGTGCTGGGCAGACATACCAACCAGAGATATGAAAAGCTCCCCAACCAGAGATATGAAAAATTGAGAGCCACTGTTGAGGGGAATTCATTCTCGTAGCAGCTGCAGAAGAAATGGACAGTCCCCATTTCCTGACCCAGGCAAGTGCCTTGGGATGTGGGGAGGTGAGAGGACATGTACATCTCCCGTGGTTCCCCACCACTCAGGATGGAACTCCTTTCTTGGAATTGCATTTAGTCAACTTGCCAGCCACCGTTAAAAAGCTCTCTCCCTGCCACGACAGGAGGGCAGGGAGCACCAGAGAGCTCAGGGTGACAAGGGGAGACCATCCCTCCCTAGGCTCCTGCAAGGCCACCTATCCACACCCTCCCCAAGCAGCGCCCCTCTCCCCTTATTTATGCCTAGAACCAGAGCTGATGTCTACTTCCATTTTCAGAATCACTGCCCCCTCCACATGAGCTCAGCGGCCACGAATCCTGCCCTCTCCTGGGCCATCCCTCAATCCCACTCAAGCTCTTCACTTCCCAGCATTCGCACCGCGCACCCTGGAACCCCGACCTTTACGGGGCTTCTTCAAATGCTTCCTTCTCCCATCTTCGAATGCCTCCTTCGCCTGCTGATTTACCAGAACTCTGGCTGTTCCCCAAGGACACAGCTGTGTCAACCTACCACATCCCAAGCACAGAGCAAATACCCAGGTTGGCCAGATGCAGGGATGGCTCACGTGCCACAGATGAGTTTAGACTGCAGGCAAAAGAACAAGCTGCAGAGGCAGTACTGCTGCTGCTGAGATGCCCCCGGGTGCACGCCTCGTCTGCAGATCAGCCGGAAGACCACGGCTCAGGGAGGGTCAGATGCTAAGCTCAAAACCACCAACAAGGCAGCAGGGTCTGGCCACAGCCTCCACGTCAAGATGCCTGATAAAGAGGAGACAGTCACGAGCTTCAGTGGACACTGGCCAAAAGGAAGAGGCATGAGAGCCATCCCAGACAGAACACGAGACACAGGAGAATGAAGAAAGGAAGAAAGAGGGAACAGGAGTTTAGGGAGAGAGGAGAGCATTGCCCTGAGGCTCAGCCCAGGCAAAATCAATTGTTCTGAATTTAGTTAGAAGCAAAACATGCTCAACCAGTGCACTCAGAGGAGCATTTGCAGTTGTGAAGAACTAAGAGGAGGAGAAGGAGAGAAATAAGAAAGTTGCAAGACAGGAAATGTGATTTTTAGAGGGCAACTGAGAAATTCACTGGTGGCACCTGACAAAATAGATCAGAGGGGACAAGAGAGAGAACTCCTGAGAACTACCTCTAAGTGCCCTGGCAACCCAATCCCATCCTCATTTCAGGGATAAAGGGAAAGTCGTGAGCACAGGCTGCTGACTGTCCTCTGCTGGGGCAGAGGAGCTGCTCTGGTAATTGATCCTGAGGCCTGTGGGTGGAAGGCCCTGCACTCTGACCCCCATCCTGCTGGCAGCCCGAGGAGGCTGCTCATCAGAGGTGTCTTCCTGACTCCAGTGAGAGTAACCTAAGCTAACTGGATGTTTATGTGACTGTGCTAGTTTGCTCATAGGGTGCTGGGAAACAGCCCTTTGACTTGTGGGTCTGTGTTGCAGGCCTGATTTGTAGCTGCTGAACTCTAGGCTGTAAATACTCCCACTACATCTGACTGAAGCCAACACCATGCTCTGCTGAAGGGGAGCTGGGCAGAGCCTGCAGGGGGCTCTGAGTCAGCAGAAGCCGGCTGCATGGAGTCAAGCTAGCTGGCAGGACAGGAGGCCGGCAGGGGCGAGGTCCAAAGCCCTTGAGCAGATCCTGGTGCAGGCAGGTCCCAGGGTCTCCCTCGGCAGTGCGTATCACATGGGGAGGCTGCCGATCAGGGGTTAACCTGCCACCAGGACCTTGTCAAGATGCAGGAGCTGACATGGAGGTGTGCTGGTCCTAGTGAGGGAGGTGAGTGGACAGAAAGAGGATCAGCAGTGGCTCCCAGCCCAGCCACCATCAGGGACGCTGGACTACAGAAGTCCCAAGTCCCAACAGGAGGTAGTGAGTTATGAGCAGGCTCACAGAGGTGTCTTTTGTGACTCAATGACACTTTGCTGCCATCATAAAAACCTATATTCCCTGCTTCTCTGGAGAGAGGGGAAGGACCTGTTGTGACCTCAGCAAGGGTGATGTGCTCAAGCTGAGCCCCTGCGGGGGACAGGCCTGTCCTTTTCCTGGGCGTCTTCCCTTTGCCACTGCCACCACCCGGTGATCTTTGTGGCCTGGTCTGTCTTGCCTCATCCATGAAGGAAAGAGAGGTAATCCTGCAGTAGGTTTTACATAACGTGTGCATTTTCCTCCCAGTTGTATCAATCTATTTCCCACCACTCCCCTCTGAAAGATGTGCATTCTTAAATGTCCAACACAGCGCTCTTAAAACACGCCACTTTCTTCCTCTCCTCCTCATTGTGGAGTGAACCCCGCTCCTGGAACACCCCATCCTCCTCTACTGAACAAAGTCTGAATTACTCAAGCCAGCCCCAAACACCACCTCCTCCCGGGGCCTTCCTGACCCACCCGTCTCCACCACAGATCTCCACCTGTCCACCCTGGATCTGCTCACAGGGTGCAGCGCTGGTCTCTGGGGCCCACGGGGACCTGGGAGATCCCCTGGTTCCTGCATTCCCAGGTGGAACGCTTTGCCCCCAGGAGCCTCAACGGCTCTGTCAAATAATAAATTAAGAATTAATTGTCAGCTCCTGGATCACGTGCTCTTGAACTCCTTTTTGTTCCTTCATCAAGCGCATTTGCAACTCTTCTACCTTAAAACACACAGGTTAATTCTTGCTTAGCACCCATTTCTCGGGAGAGGAGTCTCCCCTGTACTTCAGCCGAGGTGTCCTCTACTTTTTCATTTTGCAAAACTGAGGGTGTGGATAGGTGGCCTTGCAGATTACCACAGACTGCCTCCGTTAAACACCTGGGAGAAACCAACACCTGGACCCCGCAGGCCCGCCTCGTTCAAGCACACTCACTAACACTCACCTCTCTCCAACCTACAGAATACTTCCGCAGCATACCGCCCTTTTTTCCAGTACTGACAAGCAAACGTGAAATGCCCCCATGAATAGGAAAACAGGGGACGAGAAAACCCTCCGCGCTGCCCTCTGCCGTCTGCAGGGGCCGCCCTCTGTCCTGGCCTCCCCAACATGGCTCAGAACGGCTGGGGGCCTCACTTAACCAGCCAGCCTCTCTGATCCCTAGTATCATTTTGCAAAACTGAGGCCCAGACATGTTCAAGTACAGTGCATTAGAGCCTAAGTAGCCCTCCGGGTCTCCTGACTCCCAGTAAAGACGCCACCTGACTTGGTCACCCACATGGAGCTGTCATCCCCCGGCACCACAGGTAGGCTTCGTCAGCCCACTGCCTCCAAACACCATTCCACATACAAACTGCACATTCCCGAAATGTCTTAAAGTACCCTCTTCTTCTGTCTTCCCCATGTTGGAGTGAACCCCCCTCTAGAACACCCCCTCCTTCTCTGCTGACAAGTCTGAATTACTACTGTTCAAACCCAGCTCCCACATCATCTCCTCAACAATCTCACACGGAAATGTAAATCATTTCCTCCTCAAAACCCAAGTTGTATGAACGGACCCACAATTCTCCATTAATTTGATGCAGTGAGTCGCGGCGGGCAAAAGATGCGGGATGCAGCAGTTCGGTCGGAGAGCACAGGAAGTGTCTGACCTGTCAATCAATTTAAAACTTTCCACACTGTTTCACAGTCCCCCACGGAGGAGGGCCAACGATTTAGCATCCTGACCTACTGACAGTCGACTCCGTGCAAGAGAATGGAAAACAACCCGAAGAACCCGATTCCGGCGGTAACGTGGGGAGGAAGAAACCCTGGTGGGGGGGGGGCCGCACCCGCGAGGCGGACTCACCCCCGAGCCAGGTGTCCGACACGTTCTGCAGCATCGTGACCGGGATGCAGAAGAAGGCGATGAGCAAGTCGCTGAGCGCCAGGGAGCAGATGAAGATGTTGGTGACCGTGCGCATGGCCTTGCTGCGGGTCACCACGTAGACCACCAGCGCGTTGCCGAAGAGCGCCAGGGCGAAAATGAGCACCCCGGTGAGCACCAAGGCCAGCTTGGCGCGCGCGGGCAGCTCCGGGGTGTAGACGAGCGGCCGCAGCCCGTAGAGCGCGATGAACTGCTCGCGCGTCAGGTTGTGGTCGCGCAGCAGCCGGGAGAAGCGCTCGGGGGTGATGTTGAGCGCCT